CTCTTGTGACCTAGAGGGGGAAGGGTTCACACAGTTAGGTAGTTATGTATTAGAACCTGCCACCACAAAACGTAACAAAATTTTTTAAACGAAAGCTACGACAGAATCACTCACGTATTTCATGGGACTCGTCTCCTCCCCTTGTCCTCCTCCTCCCACTCTTTTCTCCGTGCCTCCTCCCCCTCCTCCTCCTCCCCGGCTATTAATAGCGCGGCCCGGCTCGGCCCCGTTGTGTGTCACGACCTGCGACCAGTCGGCCACGCCGCTCTCTGTGGTGGCTCGGAGGATGTTGTGAATGGCTGGGGATAGACAGAGACAGAGTTTAGTTATTTTAGTAGGGTTTTACGGCGCTTGCAACACAATAAGGTCACATGAACCGCTCTCTGTGTTGGCTCGGAGGATGTTGTGAATGGTTGGGGACAGGGAGAGAGAGAGAGAGAGAGACGTTGGTTTTTTTAGTAAGGTTTAATTGCGCTTTCAACAGCATAAGGTCATACGATCGCCAACGGTTAACAGAGAAGTCCAAACGGGGAATCTGTTTTAGTTTTAATAAAAGTTTTATGGCACTTGCAACTCAATAAGGTCATATGAGCGCCACAAGATTAGAGGTGTAAGAGGAGAGTTACAAACATAAAAAAGATGAAGGGGAGATAAGGACGATAGATGTTTGATAGGAAAGAAGAAGCAAACCACACCAGAGCACCCGCCTCTGTGGAGGCTCTAAGAATGTTGTGGATGATTGGACACAGAGACAGAGAGAGCTTAGTTTTTTTTGTAAGAGTTTTATGGCATTTGCAACACAATTAGGTCATATAAGTGCCGAAGATTAGAGGTCTCATAAGAGAGTAACAAACACAAAAAATTGTTGCTCATATGACCTTATGCAGTTGCGAGCGCCATAAAAACTCTACTAAAACGAAACTAAAAACACAAAAAAGAAGGAGGGGAGATAAAGACGATAGATGTTTGATAGGGAAGAAGGAGGGGAGATAAAGACGATAGATGTTTGATAGGAAAGAAGGAGGGGAGATAAAGACGATAGATGTTTGATAGGGAAGAACATCACCACCACCACTACCACTACAACAACACCACCACCACCACCACCACCACAACAACACCACCACTACAACAACACCACCACCACAACACCACCACCACCACAACAACAACACCACCACCACCACTACAACAACACCACCACCACTACAACAA